ACAATATAGGATATTCCGCAAGAGGAGTTTCAAGGTGGTGCAGAGGTACAAGCCATTAAATTACAAGCTATACGTAGAGATTTTGAAAACATGAACACGAAAGTTGGTGAACCAATCAAAGACTACACATCTAATGAAGATAATAGAAATTGTTAATCAGATGAAGTCCTACGGTGAAACTATAAGTGATCAAAAAGTCATTGGGAAAATTATTATGAGCCTTATAGACAAAGCTAAAAAATGCTTCAGCTTCGTCCTTGATCTAGCAAGCTGTAACTAATGATTTTTTTTTTCCCTTGAATTATGCGTGCTACTACAGCCAAGACAACGTAGGATACTCTGGGACAAGAGATTCAAGGCAGCGCAAAAGGTCCGAGCCATTAAATACAGACCATACGTAAAGATTTTGGAAACATGAACATGAAAGACGGTGAATGAATCGAAGACTACACATCTAAGCTAAAAGAAACTGCTAATTAGGGGAAGTCCTATGGTGAAACTATAATCGAATAGTAAGTCATTGAGAAAATTCTTATAACCCTTATAGAGAAATTTTATAATATATTTGGAATTGTTGAAGAATCTAACATTTGTCAACCTTAACAATACCTGGGCTATTGGGTTTGCTACATGCCTATGAGCGCTGAAGAGCAATGAGAAATTATAAGAATTCATCTGAAGGTGCATTTGAAGTGAAGCTCAAAGGGAACCATTCTAAATTTAAGTCCAGAAAAAATCAAAGTTCCAATAAGAGCGACTCCAACCGACCGCTATAACTGCATTTTGGAGTCGCTCTGGGATCCAACCGAGCGGCAAAATTTGGTGGTGAGCAGCAAATTTGGGTTTGAGGCTACAAATTTGGAGATTTCTCTCCGAATTCGTAGCTAACTCTATATTACTGTTCCAAAAAATGTCAATGTTAACCCTCAATCTCCTTAACAAATTTTTTTTTTGGTCAATGAAAAATTTTATTCATTTCCCAATATGTGCAATATGAAGTGCATCAAAACCCTATCTCTTTGGTGGTTACACTATAAAACAATCACATCCTTTCAAGTGTTTCTTTCATATGTATAGGTAAGTTCGAATTTAAAATTTTGGTGTAAATTGCCAATTTGACAACTCTAAAGACTATCTCTGGTTCTTTGAATTTTTGTTGAAAAATCCTCTGATTTCTCTCTTGCCAAATAGCATACACTGCAGCTGAGAGGGCCAGTCTCTTCAATTTTCTTTTAAAGCCTCCCCCCTTGATCTTGAGTGAGTACCAGGTTATTATTTGGTTCCAGTCACTCGATTGCCATGAATATTTCAACCAGTTCATCAAGCTATTCCAGACTTTTGCTGAGAACTGACAATCAAAGAAGAGGTGTTAATTTTCATGTCTCTTGTTGGTGATTGGGGCATAAGACACATTCATTTGAGCTCAAGATCACCATATGACATAGCCGATCCTGGGTAAGAATTCTGGAATGACATACTAGCCAAAGAATGAAAGAGTGCTTGGGGTAGTGAAATCCATTCCAAACTGTCTTAGACCAATGTATAGAGGAGGATGACAGTGATAGGATATTGTATATAAATGATAACTGAACTTTATCATCTGTACAGCATGCACAAATAGTGTTATGCATGTTTCCAATATTTCCAAATCTGGACAGCAACAAGTCTCTCACTTTGATAAGTTGCTTCCACATCCAAGAATCATCTCTTTTTCTCTGAATTTGCCATTGTTTTTTTATTTTACTTACTTAAAATCTGTATATATATTAATATATTAAATATTTTTTAATAAAAATAATATCATTGTAAGTGTCTCGTTGATACCTTCAAAATGAGACTAATATCGAAATATAAAATTACAAAATAAGTAATTAGAAATGATAATACATTGAAAATTAAACGGAAATAAAACACATTAACTTAGAATTACATCAAAACTTTAATAAAAAAAGTTGCTTCACTTCGTTGTCGTGTCTCTCCCACAAATATTCAATTAATGCATTTTGAAGTGCGAAGTGTGCTTCTTTGTCTTTGAATTTCTTATGTCGGGTCAGGAATTGTCGGAACCGTTCAGCATCGTTCATCCCTAATTCTTCAACATTTAAAATTTATGCTGGAGTAGAAACGACAATATCTTCTTGCTCATCACATTCATCCTCAATAATCATGTTGTGCATTATTATGCAAGTGGTCATGATATCATGCAAAGTTCGTTTATCCCAAGCTTCTTGCATCATTACAAAATATTGTTTCTTTTTATCTTCGAATTTGGAAATGGTTTGAATAAGTGTTGGCCATTTCGGATATATGCCATCAGCCAAATAATAACCGACATCATAATTCTTTCCTTGAATTGTATAATGATGTAAAACCCCGATAATTTATTAATAATAAAGTTTATGTGTGATAAATTATGATATATGGATATTTAGTATGATAAATATCATTAAATGGTATAGTACCATGTGTTTTAAGTATGAACGAGTTCATACATGAGAGATAGAAGTGTTGAAACATGCACATATGGCCAACTCATGAGAATCTGGGAAACCCCAGTCCGATCGACCGTCGCGGTCGACCGCAGCCCGGTCGACCGCCACGGTCGACCGCGAGACCTGCAGTCTATTTTTCTCCTGTTTTGAGTTGGTTTCGGATTTCTAAACCCATATTCGTTTTCCCCTGATATATATATGAGTTTTTCACGATTTTCTCAGTTTTCCTAAGAACCCTAACAGCCACCAAAACCCCTAAACCCTAGTTTGATTTCTTGGAGAAGATTGAAGGCTTCCAAGTGGATTTTTCGGGTGATTCTTGGCTTTTGGAGTGGAGTTTTCTTTCAACCTTGCTTCTAACACGTTTTACTATAACCAAAGGCGAGTATCATCTTTACTAATCCCCCCTCCCAGTTTTTAAAACATTTTTAAAGAGATTTAAACATGTTTTATAGAGCCTAAACGAATAGATTATGTATAAAAGATAATTCTTTTGTATTATATGTATAAAGATTGGGTCTTTTCATGCTAAAAAGGTTGAGAACATTTTCACAGATGTGATTTAGATCTGATGATGATTCTAAAATGTGGTTAAACTAGAGAAAGAAGTTTGATTTGTTGTTTTGAGCTTTTATGCATGTTTTAGGGTTTTGAATGTAAATCTAATGCATAAAATCATGATTTATATATGTTGATTTGTTTCCAGATAATTCTATCTACTGTACCATGCTTGTATGCAAGTTTCATATGATTTATATATGTTGATTTGTTTCCAGATAATTCTATCTACTGTACCATGCTTGTATGCAAGTTTCATAAAGTTTTTATCATGTTTGAATCACGAAAACACTACGAGAACACAACACGTAAAAAAATCTGGAGAAACTGGAAACAGGGTTTACGGTTGACCGTCACGGTCGACCGCGTGCAGGACAGAGACCTGGGTAGTCTCTGGAGCCCATCGCGGGCGACCAGTTGGTTTTGGCTGTGCATGTTTACTTGCGTTGTTTTTTCGGTTGTCGAACAAATTTCTCGACCTTATGATGATAGACTATGACATTAGTGATTGTTAAACACCTGGGATGATGGTGAACTTCAGATGTGGACACGCACATCGAGTTTTGTGCTCGTATGCTAGATTGTGTTAGATTGACACACACTTAACATGAGATCTATAGATTGATAAACACATATTGAATAATGTTGTCTTATACGTATCTGGAAATAGGGAGATGAAACCTATTTACCGCAGAACGATTGAGTAAGAGTATTACAAAAGTATCGTTATTACATGCATCCGGAATAGGGAGATAATAAATCCTATTGCCGCAGAGCGATTGAGTAAGAGCATTACAAAAGTATCGCTATAGCACAAGATGATGCACACATAGATATTTGATCAGTTATGTTTTGTACTTTCATGATAGACTACCCGTGAATAGGGTATTTATGTTGAGATTTTTGGCACACCCGTTATGAGCGGCAGATATATTTCATTTTGTTTTAGCTGACATCCTCTTATATTAGAGAAGGCTACTCGGATGTATTTCGAGATGCGATACTTATTCCTTATGTTGGAGATTGGAGTACTTTTCCGTGACTGTTGTTTTTCCTTCATGAAGAATTTTATGAATGATTTGATATATGAATATAATGACTCTATTTTTTTCTATATACTCCTACCCCTTCCCCTGGGGAGAGGTAGTGATGATCTCGCTAGCGCTTTGACGCTCGTTGTTTCCCCTCTTTCAAGCAGTGAGTCCAGCGCACGGAGAGTCGCAGGTTGATGGGACATCTTAGTTGTCCGTTTAGCTATTTATTATATTTTGTAGTCATTTCAGAACTCCACATGTAGTTGGTTATTTTTCAGACTCTAGATTAGTATTTTATTTTATAGAGTTGAGAACTATTGTAAGACTTTGTTTTTTTTAACTCATTGTATTTGAGACTCAGTTCAGACTCAGAGATGTATCTATTTTATTCTAGTTGGGCTCATTATTGATATTATTATGCTTCTTCTGTGTTCATCCAGTGTTGTTATATTTCTATTTTGTTTGCCTGTCTGTACCTTCACCTATTTATTGTTTCCACTAGAGAGAATGTTGTTATATTTCTATTTTGTTTGCCTGTCTGTACCTTCACCTATTTATTGTTTCCACTAGAGAGATAACGATTGTGATGGTGAAACATGTGTCTGTACCTTCACCTATTTATTGTTTCCACTAGAGAGATAACGATTGTGATGGTGAAACATGTCGTAGCATGGTATTTGGTGCTTGACAGGTTTGACAATCCGGGTTTTACCTGGGACTATAGCCTTGTGTGAACCCTGGGGCGTCACAAATGAGCAGGAGGAGTAATACATTATGTTAGGTTGTCAAACAAATTAGATGCTTGTAATATATTAATATCGTTATTAGAACCTGGAAAGCCAAAGTATGCATGTCATATCCATAGGTCATACAATGATATTGCCTCAAGAATAATGGTTAGGCCTCCGTGACGTCCTCAGTATTGTCCCACCCATGCTGGTGGACAGTTTTTCCATTTCCAATGCATACAGTCTAGACTTCCCAATATTCCTAGGAAACCTCGTTCTTCACCTTTTTGTAACAGTCTTGCAACATCGTCAGTATTGGGGGATCTAAGATATTCATCTTCATACACTTTTACAATTGCTCTGCAAAATCTCTTCAAACATTCAATTATAGTTGACTCATCAATCCTTACATATTCTTTAGTACTATCTGTTGATGCTCCATACGCCAACATGCGAAATGCTGTTGTTACTTTTTGTAAAGTAGACAGTCCAAGCTGGCCGACACCATCTACCTTTTGTACGAAATAGTTGTCGTGCTCTCGTACAGTGTCGACGATATGAAGGAAAAGACTCCTTTGTATTTGGAATCTTCTATGAAATAAATTTGCACCGTATGTGGGATTATCAGAAAAATAGTCATTGTAGATTCGAGAATTACCTTCTTCCCTCCCACAATTGATTACCAAATGACCAGAAACTAAGCCGATACGCTTTGGCCTCTCTTCCTCTTTAGAGAAATAAGTCATTATTTTGTTGTTAGAGGCATATAGACGAGCTAAGGTTTCATCCTCCACCTCCCATTGTTTCATATCCTCCTCTCATTGTTCAACATAGAGAGAAAAGGTTTCATCATAAGAAGAAGAATAAAAAGAAGAAGAAGAAGGTAGATGTGATGGTCCAGCTCCATAGTTCATTGCTGAAGAGGAGATTTGGAGAAATGAAAGAAGATTGGTGATGAGTTATTAATAGTTGTATGTTGTTGTTGCGTATCTTTGCGGAAGCGTGCTCGACAACCAAACGAGTCCGTGAGTCACGGGAGAAGATTACCAAACCAAATACGAGCACAATCCAATCCAAAATACGACAAAGCAAACCAAACACAGAGATATACGTGGTTCGGCAACCGGCCTACGTCTACGGGGAGAGGATGGGGAGATTCCACTAAATCAAGAAGAGTACAAGGGGTTACAATCTCACAAAATCACTCAAATAAACCCTAAATCAAATCTCTTAACTTGCTCACAAGTTCTCCCTCTCAATATGCTCAGTACAATCTCAAATCTTTGATAATTAACCCTATAAAATCATGTTCCTATTTATATCAAAACAGAAACCCAAACCAAATAGGAAACCAAAGCAGGCCTGAAAACCGTCGTAAGTTGACTTAACAGTGGAAACAAGTCGACTTAACAAAAGTCAACTTAACAGTCTCTATAAGTCAACTTGACAGAGCCTAAAACAGCAACTAGAGAACAGATCATGAGTCGACTTAACAGTCCTGATAAGTCAACGTGCCAGTGACCAAAACTAATAATTCCAGAACAAAACGTAAGTCGACTCGTGCACAGACACAAGCTGACTTACCATAAGTCGACTTATGCTTGTGCATGAGTCGACTTATGGCAGAAAAACTAGTTTTTCTGAGTTCTCCACAATTCTCCACCTCGGCGAAGTTTTTTCAAAACTGAGCCAACACCAATACCAACCAAAAATATCCTACTTGTTGCGTCCAGTACGAAGTGGAATAAATCCACGATAACAAACTCAATCTATAACAAGTCGGGAACTCAAATGAGAATGCGAACAATGTCCAAATGTCGGTATCAACACATCAAACTAGCTGCATCAAATTGACTACCTACGTACCCCCTCTCCCAATGGATCAAGCCGCTCGTAGTTCATCCAAATAACTGTCAACGGACTCAACAATCATGAATGTGTAACAAGTTTCGATAATGATCAAACTTGTTGCTCGGAACCACCTTGGTGAGCATATCCGTCGGATTATCCTTCGTGTGGAGCTTCACAATCTCCACATCGCCATCTTCAAGAATATCTCAAACGAAGTGATAACGAACATCAATGTGCTTCATCCTCGTATGAAAAAACTGTTTGCGTCGAAAATTGATGTATTCATTGCGGTATTCATTACAACTTCGGTCGTTACAATGAAAACAAAAAGATAATCTTTTTATAAGATCTTTACACAATGAAAACAAAAGTTATAACTCTCGTCAAAACAAACGCAGAGATCGTTTATCGGTCTTCTGCTTGCGTGGGATCTTTGCCTGTGCCGGGGTTTATCCGTGGACCACCTTAGATCTGGATCCGGTTGATAAAAAATTCGGCAGAGCTTCGCTTTCGCCGAGGAAGTATTTGATTTGAAGCACTGAAATCGACCAAGCAAAATCAGGGCTCTTCTCGAGATTAAGACCAAGCCTAATCTCAAGGGACGGACGGGAACGGGCGTCGGATCTCTCGAACTCTCCTTTATGCCGAAGAACTCGCCAAGATCTGTCAACCCTCGCTGAAATTCGTGCTCCTTTGACTCCACAATCCGGCAGCACCTCCTCGTCTTGATAATCAATCGCCCCGCTGAAAGGAGGCCCTATGCTTGTAATTATAGGACTTCGGAAGCGGTTATTTGGATGAGAACAAGTGATTTGACCTTATCTTTAGTCAATAACAGCCTAACCACGTTTGTAGATGATATCAAGTCAGTTTGGATGCTCAGGAACCAACAAATCTCGAGAAAACCATCAAAAACCGAACCGGGACGAAACAGTGCGCGCAGGACAAGTCTGACCCGCGTTTGCGCGGGTCGACTGATTGACGCGCGCACTGATTGACATGCATGAGCTGAATGATGCGTGCGTGTTAACTGACTGTTGGGCGCGTTTGTATGCTTTGAGTTGATTAACGCGTGCGGTCCACTTGGTGTTTTCCATTGTGGTGGTTCGTTGTCGTGTCATCAACAGTTTGCCGATTCTCTTTATGCGCTTGTCGGTGTTGGATAATCCTCTTTGATTCGGATAACGACGTTCATCACCTTCTCTTTGTCTTGAGCTGTGTGCGGGCACCCATAGGTATTTTTTAGACGCCTACAGATACCCCCTCCAAAGTATTCCAGACTCATTCTTTTATTGAGGAGTCTGGAATGCTTTGGATAAGATAGGCCATCTCCTCAACTTCGTAGAGTGACCTTGGACTATCTCAATTCTTAACTTCTTCAGTCTTCAATCTATTCATTGTTTTGTCGAATAGGTGAAGTTCTTCCGGCGCTGCGTTTATCGTCTGACCGCTGTCGAAATCTTGAACTGAGATTGGTGTGTAACTTTCTGAACTTAGCTCGTACCATTGAGTTGACTTTGAACTGATCTTCTCCGTCGGGAATTCATATCTGATTGTAACTGAAATCCTTGGAGTCATCTTTTGCCTTATTTTGGCGAAATTACTGATGCATTGACCGGCATCGATCTTTACTGTAACGCGTTGACCGACGTTAACACAGCTTATACTCGTACGTTTGTTGGAGTCTACACAGTTTAAGCTCTTAAGGCATTGGAGCGTGACGGTCCCGAATGTTGGGCTGCAGGACCAACTATTAGAGCTGATTCATCTGCACGTGTGGATCTTATCCTGAAGTTTGTTGGATGTTCATGTCATGAGACCAACTAATGAAGTTGATACGTCAATGACTCGTATTTATAGAATTTTTGGTAAATTCTCAGCCATCAACGGGTTTGATAAGCCTTTACCGACTACCGTTTGAGTCGGGCTAGCATGCAGATTATTTAAGTCCGTTCCTCGAAATCATCCCGTGCCGATGTCCCCTTGCTGGTCATGTTGGTGGTGACCCTCGGAAATTCTCCGTCTTCAATCATCCTTCTTCTTCGTTGAAAACGCCTAGGCCTGGGTTTTGGCGTCTCCGCACTGAGTTTTTCGAAAATCGAAACTCGTTCGGGGACCACCTTGATGCAGCTGTATTCAGACAATACTGCCCGAATGAGTTTGGAACAGGGGCAGTGAGTTTCCTATTTTTGGGGACTCCTTTTCCTGGTTTTATTCGTACCCCCAGCACGATAGTACAACTCGTCTGTTTGACGATCGGAGTAACCTATCGTGTGTTGGCACGACTTCTCAGGTATAACATTATCATCATCAGACGATAATGTTTCCTTCTGAGGGGGAATTGCCTTCTTCGGGCTTTCAAAAGTCACGCGCCTCGAAACATGCCTTTTTGGGCGTGAGTTCTCGGCGGACTCCTGAACTTCAATGCACAAGTTGGTGTGCATGGCTGGCTTGGTCCCTTTGTCATGTAGGAGGTTATGGCGACCCCCAGCCTGCTGCGTCGTCCGGGGCTTTTTCATCGGGCCCAAACGATCTTGAATAGGAGCTTTGCCTCTCTCGTCGGGAATTGGACCGAGGCGCTCCAAAACTGATTTCTTCCTTCGGGACGATTCTGCATGATCTCCCGGAGAAGCTATTGGGATTACCGGCGACTTATCCGCAGTATTGTCAGCTTCCTCCTAATTCGTGATCGGTGGCAGCTTGATCTTGTTATTTTTAAGGAGTGATTCGAAGATGGCTGGAACATCTTCGTCTTTGAAGGAGTACTCTTTTTGAGGCCTCTGATCCGAAGTCTTCTGCTGTCTCCGGGATTGCTGTTGCGACGTTTGATTAGCATCGACAGCTGCTGCAGGTGTTTTGCCTTTACCACGGGAGGCGAAGTTCGAGTTCGGAGGATTAGTCGTCGATTGACTCCTCTCAGCCTTCTTCCTTCGGAGGAAGCGTTCGGCTTGTTCACCGCGCACCTTCAAGTCTTTCCAAGTGTTGGACGGAGCTGTCCCCATTGCTTCCAATACGTCCAACGAAAGATTGTTGTGGCAGGTTTGGAGAATGAACTCCTCAGTGATCGGGTCCCTGCAATTCAATGCCTTGTTCCGGAACCTCTTGATGAAAGTATCGACTAATTCCCCGTTCTTTTGTTTCTCGTCGAGCAACGTTCCGATGGATATCTCGATGTCATCATCGAAGAAGTTAGCGAGGAATTTTGTCTCCATGTCGTCCCAGCTATTTACGCTTCCTGGCTTGAGGCGGCGATACCAATCGAAGGCGGCTCCGCGAAGAGTGCCAACGAAGGACCGCACCATCAGAGGCTTATTGCCGGAGATAATACCCAGGTGTGATTTGAAATAAATCACATGCTGAGTGGGCGAACCCTTCCCATCAAACGGCGTGAAGTTAATTAGATTGAACTTCGCCGGATATGGGATCGATTCCCATTCTCTTGGGTATGGACAAGGAATGCCTGTTTTCTTCCCCTCTTGAGCAGAAATCAACGTATTGATCTTGTTCTCGAGGTTTCTGATCTTCAAGTTTTCATTTGTATCTTCACTGGCATCCTCGTTACCACCCCCTGCATTGATAGGAGGCTCATTGGCATTGCGAGCTTCATCATGGCCATCTGCATTTCGAACCTGAAGGTTTCCTGTTGCTTAGCTAAGGCGTCTTCAAGCATTTTGGCCACCTGCTCCGCACTTATCATAAACGCTTCGCGGGGTTGTCCCTCGCTGGATACTGTATTATCTGATGCGACCGCGGAGCCGGCATCAGATTCTTCATCTTCTGAAGGGAGCCTTGTTTGAACCCTACCATAGGTTGCTCGCTCGATGGTTCCGGACTGCAGACGGGTTCTAGGCCGGGAGGCTCTCAGAATCAACTCGAAATCATCCCGTGCCGATGT